TCAAGTCATATTTACTGTTCAGCCGATTTTTGAAAGCAGTAATGAATATTATCTAAGCTTTACGTAGATGCCAAATAATGACACTTTTTCAAATTGTTTCTTAATTAAAGCCTGAAATTATTACATTAGTTCCTTCCCCCTAAAATGTATATACTCCTTTGTGTTACAAAAAAGTAGAGTAGATACCACAAAGAAGTCGATATTACAAAATTCAAGAGATACTCTGCAAAAAAATGTAAATCTAAGTTGTTTTTTTCTTATAATAAGGGCTTTTTTTCATGAATTAAGCAGGTAACTGAGACGCTTTGCCAATGGAATAAGGCAATTTACATTTAAAAATAAGGAAAGAAAATTGCTGTCTCTTATTTCAAGTGCATTTTATCTAATAATGTTATTTTTAGAGTAAAAATACTAATTCCATTGACAGATCATCTTATTTTCTTACCCAAATTAAGGGTAAATACACTTATTTTAAGAATTTTTTTCTAATTTTCAGAACATTTTTGCAGGGCAGAGATAGATGTGCAAGAATGTGTGTGGAATCTGTTCTTCTGGCTTCTTTAAAACCTAAACAAGTTTACTACATAGCAAATATGCTTAACATTAACATCCGTTGTTGACGGTAGAAACAGAAGTTTGTTTATGCTTTTGTGATTTCCCATAAGAGTCTAGGCTTAACCTATCTGTGATACAGACGCAGACTATGGTGAGTTTGTCTGTTCCTGTTTGGCCATTTTTGTGAGAACCATTTTTCTTATTTTACCAGCAAAGTGAGGTCCAGTTGTAAAGTGAGGACATTTTCCAAGCCCCCACAAGTTACTCTGCATTGAGTCAATGAGTTAATCTAAGGTTAGGTTGAGGTATGCTCTGCTAATGGTTAGGGCATAAAAAGGCCTGAAAAACCTGAAACTCAGTGAGAGTCAACACATGGTCCTCACTACATGGCAAGATAAGAGTGTGTGTGTGTGTTTTCTCTTTTTTGGCTTAACTGCACTATACTCCAAAGTGCAATGACACGTGGGGAGTGCTTTATAGCTTCACAACGGTCATCAACAGTTTTTATTTCAATGTTAATATTTAAATTCTGATATGAGTTAATGACATGTCTTTGAAAGAAAAGAAATCACTAAACATGGCGCTGTAGGTTCTATGTAGGAGAGGCTCCAGGTGTCTCTAAGTTGGGAATTAGGCATGAGGACGTGGTTTAGTTTCACAGATATTTGCAGCAGAAATGAAGCCGCTAAAATTTCAGTTCCTGCACTTATTGCTCTGCAGTCATAAAATTCCTATCCTTGTCACTCAGATGATGCTTGTTGGTGAGAGGTGCAGGCGTCTGTGTTGTTGATGGTTAATGTTTAACTGCATGCTCCAGAGAGGAAACCACTAATTTGCCAGCTTGAATTCTGAGTTGGTCAAACTGCCCTTAATTCAGCTTAACTTCACTTTGCAAACATGCCTCAGAGTGAGCGCTCTGAGCTCTGCTTAATAACCAGTCTGAATGTAAATATGGCCATTTAGAAACGACAAACTTACCTTTGCATGTAAATAAAAGCCACAGCTAACCTTTGATCTGTCACAATAGCAGCTGAGAAGAATTTTACACTGAGCCACAAATCTAACTTTGGAGAGAGAGAACAATTTTTTCCCAAGTTATGTCGGGGGGTTTTCAGGTTATTATGAAAAATGGTGAGATGCAGAATAATTAATAGCAAAAAAAAAAATGAAATCAGGTCAATCAGTGATGATCTCCCACCTTAAGAGAGCATAGAGTGAGGGTCAGACATATTTGGACTGTGTCATAATCTCTATGATCCAGGCTCTACATGACAGCACATTGGATTCAAAACAGAACAACAAAGTAAGCTAAGAACAATAATATCATATTAAACATGTAGGAATTGCAGACGCTCTAAAGTAAAACGGCACATAAACATAACCCTAAGTAAAATGTTGTTTTTCAATATATTTTGTTAAGAATCCTTTTTAGTTGATGACTGATGTCGGTAATCCATGACCGTCAGGAAAAGGCCGGGTTTCCATCTTTCTGATACTTTGCCAGGCTTTTAATGCTGTCTCAGTTGCATGTTTGGGTCTTTTTGCCAGAAGTTTTGTCTTGAGTGAGTGAAATGCATGCTAAATGAGGTTGAAATCTGGCAATTGACTCAGCAGATGCAGAATATTGCACTTTTCTACTTCGAAAAAATTCCTGGGGTTGCTTTTGTGATTGTGTTTTGGATCATTGTCCATCTGTCCTGTGAAGTGCAGCAATCAAGTCAACCCTGCTGCATTTGGCTGAATCTAAACGGTAATGTATATCCCTATACACTTCAGAATTCATCCAGCTGCTTCTTTCCTTTGCCACACTGTCATCTGGGCCCTTTAAACCCATATTAAAATAAAACTTGTGTTACTGTCCAAATAGTTCTGGACCACTGATAATCAATTCAGCAGCTGAGTTATTATAAAAGAGTCAAATGTTAAACAAATGATCCTGTCTTGTTTAAAAGAAAAGTGTCTGGTTTCAATCAAAGTAGTCTAAAAATGTAAGAAAACTTGAAGGTGTAGAGGTTTAATTAGGAGGCTTAATAACATATGAGTTTCAGGCAGTGACCAGAAGAGTTTCCTGCCAATGACTGAGCTGCAGAATCGCCCTGAGTATTCGACGCTAGGATAGGCAGTGTCTCTGAGTCATCCTTTCAGATTTAGAAGCATGTGGAAAACCGTTTATCTGGAGGGGAAGTTTACCCAAATGTGCTTAAACCCCAGATCTTTCATTCCCAGGTCTTTGCTTGGAGGCAATCACTGGTTTTAACCTCACAATGACTATAAAACAGGAATTAGGTTTTAACAGCAATTTCATCTTAACTAGACAGAAGATTGCTTGATTGTCCAGGACACACCCTGTGTTCAGAGTACAGACGCCCACGTTAGTGTTTGTAAAGGAGAGTCATCACTGGAAGTTATCTGTGAAACTGAAAATAAAGACTCCGCAACATGCATTTTGTCATCTGTTAATGTAAATAACTGACATTAAAAATCAAGGCGAAAGAGGAAGGCAGCTTTCAGAAGACTGATTCCACATTTCCTCCTTCAGAGTAATCAAAACAAGGAAAACCAAGGATTTACTTTAAAATAGATTAGAAACTAAAGGAAATAAATCTTTATGTTGTGCATAGAATCAAGTAGCATGGTTTAGGTTTACAAAGCTGTATCGAAGTGAACCATAAAATGCCTGAGACAAATGTATTTTAGGCAGAATAGCGAGGTGTGGCTGCTTGCTCATATGCAGCCATGTTGCACTACATTTCAAAACTAACACCTTAACCACAGAGGTTAGGGAGGACTGTGGAGGAGGAAGAGCATGTTTTGTTTAGCAACACCATGGTAGCGAGTAATCAAATCAACCATGAGGGGTTTTTTGTTTTATTTTTAACAGTAAAAACTTTACTAATGGTTATCGGACTATCAGCTGAAGCCTTGTTGAAAGCAGCTCCAACTAAAGGACAGTGATCCTCCAAGTCTACCACCTACCAGAGAAAGAACAGAAATTATGTGTAATGCAAACATGCTACCAAAGCAGGCAGACAAGGACATGCAGCGTCCCTTTTACATTAGATAAATGTATGAATGATTTACTGATACGCCTTAGGAAAAAAAAAAAGAACTAGTTATTCCATCTGTTTTATGTAGCCTTTTGTCAGCATCCCTCAGATTAAGCAGTTATACTGAACCAAATCTTTGTCCAGATTTCACAATAGAATAACACGACTTTTAAAGTGTTTTTTCAATATATTATGTTTGTAAAAATTAAGAACTCAGATTCTAAAATTACTTTGAGAATTTTTTTTCCTTCATCCCAAAATGTTAAATCTGTAAAGGAGGGATATGGTATACCTGCTTTCACCAATACCTGTCTGCTGTTTTAAACCTGATCTCTTTATCAAGGATCTTTATTTAAAGGCTGCACTTTAAAAAAATGAAATGGTCTAGAGAGCTGTACTTAACGAAATTTCTTTTTGTTTACACTTGTGTTCAAAATGACAAAATAAAATCTAAGTCTCTAAGTTTACCAGTGGTTTAACAGAAATTTCTGAAAAGGTGTGTAAATCAAAGCATCCCAATGGCATTTAAGGATTTTTGTGGTGACTGTAAGTCTTGGTATCTTACCTGCATTAGAAAACCGTCATAGCATCTTCATTTTTTAAATAAATCTAGATCGAGTGAAACTCAACAGCTGATTGGAAATGGAAGAGACTAAAGTGAACACCTTCCTTAAAAACAGTGATTTAGAGTATTTTATGTCATTTTTCTTGTATGGATTTGATTATTAATCTCTGTGCTACCAGAAGCAAAGAGTCTCCACAGCATGATGCTCTAACCACCATTTTTCATTAAAGCGATGCTTCAAGGTGATTTTTTTTGTTTATTCAAATTTTTCCATGTAGAAAAGATTAGTTTAGGTCTCATGATCAGAGGTCATGCTTCCACATGTTTACTGGCTGAAAATTCTAAAAGGTACCTTTAATGTTTTCTCTGTTCATTCTACCAATAAGTCTTGTCAATGCTAAAGCAGATGTCCCGTCACAGGATCTCGGATTTAAGTCCAGGTGTACGGCCATGTGTTTGTAAGTTTTCCTCCAACACCGACTTAAACTTCTCCATTTACACCCTTGACTGTCAGGTGGGTGCTTTTGTTTTTCAAACCATTTATTTACCAATAATGTTTTAACAAACCTACTTTCAATGACTCATATTTATATATTTATACATTAATTTCAACTGAAATAATTTTACTTACAAACTTATTTCATGTTTCTTACAAATAATAACCACAATTTTCCATGTACGGTAATTAATCACTGCCTTCTGTAAAATCACTGCTCAAAATAAAAAATTCAAAGTTGATAAAAAAAGGTTTGCATAACCTTCAATGAGATTTGCAGCATTTTTTTCATTAGGCAACAATTGTAAACTTAACACTTGTATATAGGGACTCGGATCGAATGTCTTGGCAGAGCAGTTTCACAGCAAACTTTAATTCTGAGTTGGAAAAAAACAAACAAATTGAAAACGAAAACAATAATAATGTGTTTATTAATATTGTTTGTACATGGCAAACACTGTAGGAGCAGCAGAGGACCACAAGTTTGTGTGTGTGTGTGTGTGTGTGTGTGCGTGGGTGTGTGTGTGTGGTTCAGCAGCAGGGAGGAATAGCTGGCCCCGTTTTGTCCTCCAAGTTGACTTTGCCCCAGTCACATGGGCAGCTCATCACCAGTGACCAGTAGACTTGAACATTGCTCCAACTTGACAATTTCTCCTCAGCAAAAAGGCAACGAAAAACACACTAAATAATCCTTCTTATTGCCCATACTTTCAGAATAATAAAAATATTTAAATATTTGGATGGCATTTTTTTAATAAAGGGAAACTATTGCCTTCTTTTATTCACGGAGGGTGGCCACATTTTATTTTATTTTGACCAACTTAGGATCCCTCCTGTTCTACTAAGCTTTCCCCTTGGATAAACAGTTTAAAAGTGCTATAGATGCTCCCCGATCCTCCACGACCAATTTAAAAAAAACAAAGTATTCCTCATTGCCTTTATAGAGGTGTTTGAACTGGTGAAACAATTGTGGCAATAATTACTTTAACTTAACAGCATTTTATACATGAATTAAGGCCAATCCTATTCTTACAGTATATACAGCACCACCCAAACCATGGCTACATAAAGACACAATTTACTAATTCATAGATCCAGTTCTCCTCTGAAATGATAATGCGTTAGTTCCTCAGTTTAACTCCATGTGCCTTGAGTCACAACTTCATCTCGTGTCCACAGTTTGGTTTTCTTTTTGCCGACAGCATGTACAGTAGTGCTTTAGTTTGTAAACGTGAAAAGAGGTGGTGTCATTCACTCCTCGTCTGTGCAAACCTGAAACAGAAGAAGACACGTAAGAGACCTCATGAGGACTGGATGAGAATGGGTGCTACTTTGGCAAAGTTTGTTAATTGGTTGGTTTTTTTGTTGCATAATGATGTTAATTTCATTTCCTTCACTTGAAAAAAGGACTCTCCCCGAAGGGGGCCCGGATGGAGTGTGAGATAGATTGACGGATTGGTGTGGCTCTACTGGACTGTCGTGGTGAAGAGGGAGCCGATTCGAGGGGCAAAGATCTGGATTTACCAATCGATCTACGCTCCCACACTAACCCATGGTCATGAAATCTGGTTAATGACCGAAAGGACAAGATCACAAATACATGCCGCCAAAATGAGTTTCTTTTTGTCATGGTAGCTGGGCACACCCTTCTAAATCAGGTGAGGAGCTCAGTTACCCGGGAGGATCTCGGAGTAGAGTCGTTGCTCCTACACGTCGAAAGGAGCCAGCTGAGGTGGCTCGGGCATCTGTTCCGGATGCCTCCTGGTTGCCTCCCTCTGGAGGTGTTCCAGGCATGTTCTATTGGGAGGAGGCCTCATGGAAGGCCCAGGACACGGAGGAGGGACTATATCTTTGAGTTGGCCTGGTGTCACCTCGGGGTCCCCCCAGAGCAGCTGGAGGAAGTGTGTGTGGTTCGGGAAGTGTGGGAGTCTCTGCTTAGAATGCTGCCTCCGTGACCCGGCCCCGGATAAAGTGGAAGAAAATGGATGGATGGTAATTTTGAAGGATTTGGCTTCCAGCTATTGCTGTATAGAGATGAACTGATAAGTTCTTAAGGCCCATGTCGATTGTAATGCTTTTTTTTTTTGAGAAGATACTTAAACTTTGTTGTTTTTTTTTTTGTTTTTTTTACATCCTTATTTACAAAGAAATGCTTTACAAGTCTACATTTAAAACAACAAAAAAGGGCTCAGTTGAATGGGAAAAAAAGTAGACTATCCATTCAAGATGTTTGGGGCAGAGTCACAAGTGAGTTAAGAGCCAGCAGACAGTGACATATGGGCCATGATTGCAGCGTTCAGCCGATCCTGATCAACAGATCATGTTAGAACCATTTTATGTGTGCTGAGGACTTTTGCTCTTAGATTCAAGTTTGGTTTGGAAATTAAGATCCTAGAGTCAGGGGGATGATCCCAGGGCGACAAAATGTTATAGCTGATGGTCCAATGAGGTTTAAGGACCCTTATCTTCTGCTGGTGGGCTGCTCAGTGGCGCAGTGGGTAGCACTGCTGCCTTGCAGCAAGAATAGCCCGGGGTCTTTCTGCATGAAGTTTGCATGTTCTCTCTGAGCATGCGTGGGTGCTCTCCAGGTACCCTGGCTTCCTCCCACAGTCCAAAAACATGACTGTTAGGTTAATTGGCAATCTCTAAATTCTCCTTAGGTGTGAGTGTGTACGTGAATGCTTGTTTGTCCTGTTTGTCTCCGTGTTGCCCTGCGATGGACTGGGATGGACCCCGCCTCTCGCCTGTAGACAGCTAAAAATAGGCACCAGCACCCCTCACGACCCCAGCAGGGATAAGCGTGTCAGAAAATGGATGGATGGATCTTCTGCTTGTTACCACTATATTTAACTAAGTCTAAAGTCAACATTGTCATCTAGGACATTATAAAGGACTTAATGCTGCCCCCTGCTGATAAACTTTTGGCCCAAAACCTTGATATCAAGAGGACGGACAAGAAGCAACGATGTAGAAAGAACCAGAAGGCTGCAGCAAATTTCTAGAGAAACTGAAGTTTGGGTTTTAATTACCATCAAAATGACCAAAAACACATAATTCTTTCCATAATTTCACTTCTAGATAGTGGTCTAATTCATTGAGAAACTCTTGATTCTTCCGTTTTGTTTTTAAGCCCAAAGTTTAGGAAGAGAATTTTAAAGTGTAGAGATAATCTTTGTACCTTGACAAACGGGTGGTCGAGAAGCATGCTGGCGGTCCAGCGACGTTTGGGTTCACTCTCTAAGCAGTGACCAAGGAAGTCCTTCCCCTCCGTGCTGAGCTTCTCAGGGATGGGCGGTTTGTGGCCCATGCCCACTTTGTACATGATCTGAAAGTTGTGCTCATACTCGTGCCAGGGCCTCTGCAGATCCAGATAGAAATCACACAAAGATCACAAATCGTTCTCTACAGGTATTTAAGTTGTGTTTATTGTGTTTAAGTATTTATTTAGGTTGTGTTGCTTAGGTGAACTTCCTCTGGTGAGAAGTAAAAATAGAACATGCCCCGGCACACAATGTTTCTGTTTTTTTAGACATTGGCTTTTTACAGGAAATTCTGCAAAGAGCCTCACTAATTCAAACTGAGAAAAAGAAACCTGCACCTGGAATGAGGAACTTTTGAACACATAAAAAAACTGCAGATGAGAGCTGCAGTAGATCTATGCTGTGATATTAAAGCAAATCCTTTTTCTTAAGTATTCCGAGAGGCAAATATCTTCTATTTCACTGCTTACCTTTCCAGTCACCATCTCAATCAGGACACAGCCCAAACTCCAGATATCTGCTGCTCGTCCATGACCTTCTCCTTTTGCTCTCGTTATAACTTCAGGTGCCATGTATGCTGAGAAATAAAGAGACACATAAGAAACAATATAAACCTAAAATTTATTCATAATGAGCTCTAAAAACCAGACATGAATGTAGTCTTTTTTTGCCTTGAAATAATCAGATTCTAAATCCTTTCATCTTCTTTAGCCATACATCTTCCATCTTTCAGATTATTTTTCTCCTAGTGATCCGTCTTAGATTGAGACTGTGATAAAATGATGCAAATAAATTAAATAAAAAGCCCAAAGATGATAAAAATTGACTTTAAAGTTAAGCTGTAGTAAAATGTTTGTTTTTTTTAGTGTTATTTGAAGGAGAGGGTTTCTACAATGTGAGTTTTTTTATTTTTATTTAAGGGAGTCTATCACAGAGATGTGCATGATAGAATTTAAAAATGCAGTTCAGATCTCTACCCTCTGGATTTCTCATAGATGTTTCATACCTGAAACCAACCCACAGATCATTCATTGTCTTATAGACCAAATACATTTTCTAAAAACTAGCTTTCTTAGAAAAAATGACCGAGGTCAATACTACGTTGTACTATCAGTGACAGCTGATTGCAGCTGTTTTATACAGAAATCAGTAGAGACAAAATTTTGCCTTTTAAAACCAAATCTCAGCTTCAGTTTCTCTGTCTCCTGTTTTCAAACAGGAAAAACCTTTAATTTTTAGAAAGTTTTTAAAGTAGGCAGATTTAGCCAGAGTGGATGTCTAATTTTTTAAACGCTCTGTGGCATTTCTACATTTTTGGTTGAAAAAAAATCTACTAAAAAGCCGAAGGGAGTTTTGATCCAGTCTTTAATTTTAGGGGCAGACTAAAATCAATCTCATTTTAATCTGACCCTATAATCTTAAATCTTTCATTAACCTATGTGCCTTTAGCATACAAATGTTAAGATATGCTGTAGTGATCTACAGTTTGAAGTAGCTGTAGTATTAAGCTATTTAATGTCTATCTAGAACAGAATTTTTTTTTCCTGAGATATAGAATCATGGATTGCAATTTAGTCTCTGCTAAATGAGATCTTAACCGGATAATCCCACAACACTGAGAGCAAACAAGGACCATCATCCTCCACTAGATGTTGTTTCTTACCTGCTGTTCCCAGTGTGCTGTTCACCTCCCCAGGCATGGTATGAGTGTTGTTCCTTAACTTGACCGAGCAGCCAAAGTCGCCCAGCTTAATCAAACCCGATGACGTGAGGAAGATATTGGCTCCTGTTAAAAAAGAAGAAAAATGCGGCGTAATGAGACGAGAGCTTCTAACACATCTAAAACCAAAGAATTAGTAACAGGAACTAGACACTGACCTTTGATATCACGGTGAACAATGCCATGCTCATGGAGAACATTGATGGCCGTGGTGATCTGTTTACTGTAAAGCCTGATCACGTGTTCCTGGAGCCCAAGTCTGGAAACTTCCTCCAGAGTTCCTTCATCACAGTACTCCATGAAGATGTACATCTCCTCCTAAAAGGTAGCAGACACAGATTCACACCAATCAGCTTCAGAACGCATCACGTGTTACCTTAATTATATGCTAGCTTCTTACCCGATGGAGCTCAACCCCAAAGTATCTCACAAGGTTTGGATGTTTGATGCCTTCAAATATTTTCAGCTCATCAGCCGTCTCCTTGATGGTTTTGTGATCGTTTGGCTGGAATCTTATCTATATAAAAAAAATAAAATAAAAACACACTTTACAAACTATATTTCAGTACCTGTGCTTTTTCATTTTCAGTGCTTCATACCTCCTTCATAGCCATAAGCTCTCCAGTGTCAACATTGATGCAGGTGTAGACTTTTCCATACTGACCTTCACCTGATATTACACACACAAATATTATTGTCTGCAAATTATTTAATGAGCTACATCATAACCAGATGGAAGTCCCACATACCTATCTTGTTGCCTCTCTGCCACTTAAAAGTCACCTTCCTGAGCCCGACGTGCATGCCATCAGACTTCGGCGTATGACACACTTGACCGATTATGTTCCGCTGCTTCATCTTTGCATAACGCTTCTCTTCAAACTTTCGTATGGAGCGACGGACGGCCTCCATCGGGCTCTGCCTGGCTGCCATATCTGCAAATACAAAAAACAGAATCGGCAAAGAGTTCTTTTGTCGGAGTTGATGAATACTAAAGTTCTTCTGAATAAAGAAACTCACCTTTGGATTGGCTGATTGAGGTGCGGAGCTCCCAGCTTCTGGGTGCGGTGCTGTTTGGATCAGCCTTTGGATACGTAGGTTCTGAAACAGTGTCGACATTTTTATTAAAATGTTAGCCATGGAAGTTTAGGGAAAGCAGGCCTGCAGATTAGTGTCAACCCACACCTTCTTTTTCTTCAGTGGGGCTCGAGTGGCGGCTCAGTGATTTGAACGTTAATTCTGCTGCAACGGTTGAAAGTCGATCGTTTTCATGGAAACTTGATACCCTGAGAACAGGTAAAGAAAAGTCAGCCAAAACTTCAATACAAAAGCATGCTATTAGCCTAATTGAGGGTTTTTGCACTTAAAAACATGATAGAAATAGAAGATAGAAATAAATACTTTATTGATGTATGTACTGATTATCATCTAATCCACTGACTGGCTTCTTTAAATTTCATAACAGTGAAACATCCACATAATATAAACCTACAAAACCCATTTATTCATTTAAAATATATCTACAATTTTTTTATTTTTTTTTTTATGCATCAACTAGGGCAGCAGAGCATCAGAAATGACATGTAACTGGTAAATTATTAATCACATTATCAATGCAATTAATTCCACATTCGCCCCTTTTTGGTGAGCTTTATCACCTCAGGCACTAAAGCTTGCTTATAGTGTTCATCAAATTATATTATAGCCAACATTTATATTGGCAGACAGTGATTTGATATTCTGCAACACTCTACTATAGATCTACACCAGAATTTAAATGGAAAGGAAAAATATAGTGTTTCTGAAAAACATATTAGCAAATGATTGCAGCAAATGCCAGAAAGAAAAACAGCGGAGCATGCATCAGAAACGGCCAAAAGGTTAGACAGATGGAATTAAAAGTATATCAGCTTTATTCCACTCAATAACAAGCCACCAACTACAAAAGCCATCAGTTAGCATCAATACCAAAAACAGAATAAAACAGAATACTATCCTACTCTTACTTCAGTCAGATAGTATTTTTTTTTATTCCATGAACAACAAGCAGCCTTCATATGATAGTATTTTTTTTTATTCCATGAACAACAAGCAGCCTTCATATGATAGTATTTTTTTTTATTCCATGAACAACAAGCAGCCTTCATATGATGAGTTATAAGGATTTATCCATGTTGATTTTAAGGGGTTTTGGAGGAAAAAAAAATTCTCTAAACTGATGGATAAAAAAAAAAAAAACAAGCATGATGCTACGGTTGTAACATCAGCGATTGACCAGGAACTTCTCAATTGTCAGGTGACTTAGAGTGAAAATACCTCAAATAACATTTTTAAATGCATACATCTAACCTAAAATGTCAATCCCACCAAAAAAGATAAGACGTGGTTAATCTAGGAAGCCTAGAAGAAGTGGGACTATCAGCAGAGGGCAGGAAGGCTGAACATGTTACTAAGTTGTTGTGTTCAAAGGTCTTCAGCCCAAGTTATGAAACGGTCAAAAAGGTAAGCAGCCTTTTTGGATTGTTAGGCTTTGTTTCCTGAGAAATATCAAGTTTTCTTTGGTAACACTCACTATGCTAATATATAAAAGATGCAAAACTCTATTTTAAATCTTCATTCCATCTTCATCTCGTCTTTACTCTAAGATATTAATAAAAACTCAGGTTATTGGCAATATGTTTTATAACCTCTGCGGTACAGTAGTAGTAATCAATAGGTCACTAACTAACCCTAATAAAATGAAATGAAATTAAAAATCAATCAGTACAAATCTAAACAGGAGGCATTTCCTCAGAATTGACATGGAAAGTATTACTGGTTGGCTTAGGGGAGGGGCTACCTGACATCACTGGGACTGCTGCTGGGTTTCATGGGGCTGTGGTCCCCTGGGCCCTGAAGGATGGCCCGGGGGCCATTGGGGACAAGCTGGTTCCGAAGATCACAGGGAAGGCTTCGAGAGCTGTGTGGTGAAAAAAGCAAACTGAGGCTCGCTGCCTTGGGAAGGGGGAGGGGGTTCACATAAGGGTGTGTGTTGATGAATGTATGCATCTGTGACTAGATGTGGGAAAGACGCTCACACTAAATGCATTTATAAAAATAAGGTGCAGAAAGTTTCAGAAAATATGCAGAGAAGCTCAAGTTTGCTTATTTTATAAGCAAAACTATGAGAAGAAGCAAAGCAATGCACACAGAACCAAAGAAATGATCTGCTGTAACCTACCTGAAACCATCTGTATTAGGGATAAACAAATTGGGGTTTGGAGGGTCGCTATGGCAGCGGACGGGAGCAGGGACCTTCACAGGCCGGGGACTATTCCTGGGTGCTGAACAAAAATAAATACGTAAAATTCATCCAACTGTATTTTTTTTTTAAATGACTTTGTAAAATAAGTAGCAATGAACAGAATCTGGAATGATCCCTCATCAAACTCAAAATATTCAAGCTGGAATAAAATTAGAAGTGATGAAAAAAATGATGTCTGATTTACCTAAACATTGAGAGATTTCAAAATATTATAACATGTAATTTATATTTATAGCAACATTTTAGATTCTTGAATGGTCGGTTATTAAGTGGTTGTAATAGGAGTTCTCTTTTGATAAAAAGTAAGATAAGTAACTTAACACCCAACAAGAGTTTTTGCATGTTTTTTGTGCAGATATACTATGCATCCCTGGCTTTAAAAACTGCATGTTAGACACTGATCCTCCCATGATAATAAAAGTTTCCACCACAAGAGGGCATCTTACCGATATACAGGCCAGTAACAGGGCTATGAGGCTTTCCAATCACATGTCCTATACATTCATTCATCAAAGCTTGCAGGTTCTGCAGGAAAAACAGAAATTACATAACAGCCACAATCTAAGCACTAGTTTCAGTTTAAAAAAAAATAGGACAAGGTGATGGGCTAATCTCACCAGGAAGTCATCCTCTGGTAATGCAGATATGAAGCCAGGTTCAATCGCTTGAAGAAAGTCAAATCCCTGAGTCGCCCACCTGTATAGGTAAAACTTTTAGGTCAAGCTGCATGATTCAAAAGTCAAGATAATGAAGCTGCAGAGCAGGAGTCTTCAGTTCCAGTCCTTTGGGTGCGATGCCTTGCACCTTTTAGACATTTTTCTGCTGCCAGAGTGAAAGCACCAGGTCATTAGCAGAACTCTGGGGGACCTTAAATATATAATGAGGAGGAAATTCAGCCATTTGATTCAGGAGACATTGAAGCAGAGTCAGATCTAAAAGGTGCAGGGCACTGAAGATTAGAACTGAAGACCCCTGCAGCAAAGCAAGGAAGGAAACTCCTAACAAGTATAGTAAGGAAGGAATATTCAGCACAATATTTGTTTGTTTTCTGCATTTAGTTTTGTCTCTTATGATACAAAGATATCAGATCACTATTGCAGATTGTTAAACACAGAACTTTTCTTTTAGACATAATTAGAAAAGAGACCATTTAGACAAAAAAAAACTGCATAAAAAAATGTATGCAAAATTTATTTATTAGAACTGATTAAATAGAGCTTTTGTTTTAAATATAACGCTGACTTGAATGAAATTAATTCACCCTGACTGGAGCTAGAGGCATTTCTTAACTGTTTTAATAAAAGAAAAAAAGTTTGGTTTTCAACAACCAGAGAATCAAAAGATTCAAGATATCAAGTCACTGAAAAATTCTAATAAAGTATTCTTTTTTGGATCTCCCATTTAATTCAGGAAATTTGTAAAAGGCTACAGTATTTTTTTCTAATCTTATTAGATTAATTTAGTAATGCAGACTCATTTAGATGTAGCGTGGTTTAAGATAAATATATTCCTTCCTAGTCCTCTTACTGTTTATCAGTATTTACAGTTGTCGTTTTGATCATAGTTAAGTTTTATTTAACACTAAATCAAATGAAAGTGCTGTTTTTACAAGCACTGCCCAAACCAAAATGGTCATTGAGTGTTTAAAAATGGTTTTCTCAGCAACATATGAGCATCAGATGGTTATGTCTCACCTGGGCTTGGTGCCCCTCCCGCTCTCACATTTGGTCAGAACATAGGTCATCCATTTGCGTGCAAAAGCTATGTAGCGTTCCCCGATTCTCTGTCGGAACTCGCCTGACATCAGGCGGACCACCTCCTTGTGGTACTGTTTTAAAAGAATGTCAATCAATAAAAATCACAGCAGAGAGCTGAATGCTTACTGCACTGTCCAAGGTTCTTACCTCAAAGGCGAAATTGTAGCCCTGGATCATTGCTTCCCTGTAGTACTGATGCAGAGTGGCTGACTCAGATTCCTCCACCTCTGCCTGAAACTCTGTGGTGAACATGAACTCCACCTGGTCGATGGCTGTGCTTATTTTAATGCATAGCTGCAATGCTTTGTTCTGTTAAAAAAGCGATTTAAAAAAAAGATTTGAGGTTAAGGAATGATTGTACGATCAATTACCAGCTTTTAAAATAAATGATCAACGTGTTGAAAAAGATCAACTGCAGCATCCAGCATTATGACACAGAGTGCTGCAGCTTTGAAAGTAGCTGGTGGCTCTATAAATAGCTATGAGTGAGGCTGGTGCTCATGGTCTGGTTATACTGATAAAGAATGGAAATTTGGGTTAAATCATTACCACTGCAGCAACGATCAGATATATGAAAGCACTGATGCATGACTGTTATTGCTACAAGGAGGAGGTTATGCAAGTACCTTGAGGTCCTCCAGAGCGCTGGCAATAAGAGGCTGGCTTGATGTTTGCTCCCGGCTGAGGGTCAGCACATCCTCCATGGACTGCTGGAAAGCCTTCCGCTGGGCCACCAGGTGAGCCGATTGCATCACAATCAAGAGCAAGTTCTCAACCTGAAACCACAGTAAACAGTGGTAAGCCTAAAAACACCACATAGACATACTGGCCCAAAACGCTGCTCTGAATTTCTTCACTACCTTCATAGCTCTTAGAGTGTCCACAGCTTCGATCTGTGGGACCAGGTGGAGAACCTCACCATCCCACCGAGCCCAGTCAGCCTCTGTAGTGGAGTCCCCCGCTCCGTGTTTGCTAATGAGCAGGTAGGCATCATCTTCAGCCATTTCATCAGGTTCTTTGGAGCAATCTTTCCCAGCAGCAGCATTGAGAAGCTGCAGGATGAGAGCCCGTTGATTCTTCAAGCTACAGGGCACAAAGACCTGGAGCTCTTCCAAGCCTGGGATCTGAACCTGAGAGGAGGAGGTGATTAGACTATTTTCAGCACCAAACAATAGAGAGGAAGATATTTCATCTGAAAATCAAAAGGGAAGATAAAGGTTGAGGACCACCTTGACATAGCTTTTCATTTTCAGTGCCTTCAGGAGACAAGGCACCCCGCTAGTGATGCTAAAATCTGCAGCAACTTCCAAATCCTGGAAGATATAAGAAAAAAAAAAACATATATAGCAAAATAAATAAATCCACAGAATCAATGAGATCAAAGTAGCTATCTGTGAAGTAAATGAAAATATGTTTCTACCTTGCGCAGCATTTTTGCAAAGCCCAAAGCCTTAGATGCACGTTCCCTGGCCTCGTGGAACAGCTCTTTTAAAGAGCGACTGGTTTCAATAACGGAGCGCCTAACAAAAAAAAAAAAAGCAGCAAAGAGAGATAAACAAACAAAACAAAGTTGAGCCTGATGAATCTTCTAGAAATCTTACTGTGTGAACTTCATCCCCTCTAACCTTATTTCATCTGAGGCGGCGCTGTCATCTGCACTTTCCCAGAATTCATTGCCACTTTTCTCCAAACCAGCATCAAGAAACTCTCCAGTGGATTCCAGCAGCATCCCAGCAATGTTACTGCAAAGGCAACAACAGTTCTATTGGTCTATTGAAATATGAACATTTCAAAATGTCATTCTTTGAAGACTAAAATTTCATTATTTTGCTTGATTTTTGTTCCGTTTTTTGTCTGGAATTACTCCCTGTAGATGTAAAAGCAACTGGAGGAAAAAAAAGAGCAAAACTGAACAAAGATGAAAATCATTCAGTGTATGAATGTATGCAGAAGTTTAATATCCAACTCTTGGTAGTTTTATCAGCAAGCTAATGTAAGAATATAAGAAGCATTCTCTGTAACGGCCAGCAGGCGGTGTTGACCTTAAAATGAGAAGCAGTCCGACTTCTCTGATAAAATATTCAACCTACAGTTTGAGAAAATATATCCAAATTTTCTCTTTTAACTTTTCTTTTTTAAATAAAACCTATGAAATTTAACCTATAAACCATTTTAAAGACCGGTAGACAAAAGAGGAAAGCCTGAAAGAAAACCCTCAACTAGTTCTGTAACAGTTTTTATTTCTGTCACAGTTTGTAAAATAAATCACTGAGTTTAGCAGACAAACCGGATATTCTCTTGTTTTCTGCTCCGCAGGAACATTGTGTTTAGTTCCAAAGATCCAAAGTTTTGGATCTTGATCCATATTCATGTACCACAAAATGACCAGTTATGATGAAACCTGGACACATTTCATCTAAACTCACCAGAAAAGTTCACCAGACTGGGCCTCTCCTCCACGGATGTAAGGAGTGATGACCTTTGTGAATTGCCATTCCTCCTCCAACAGGTTCTTTAAGCTGTGAGAGGCCTGAGGAAGCTGCTGCAACATCCTGATCCAACTACGCATATATTCAAAATAAACCTGCAGAAACAACAGGTGGCACATGGTTAATATTCATTCACAACCAACTACAACTAACATTAACTGGAGAGGAAGAAGGTATTAGAAGAAAGACGCACCACCAGCATCTTGTGTAGATCTTCTTCAAAGTCGTCTATATTGGCGTTTGTCTGCAGACCTTGAGCATCGTTCACCACTCCACGCAGCATAAACTGATAATACTGCTTCATCAGGAGGCCTCCTTTCAGAACCTCCTTACACTCTCGCACCAGTTGCTTTATACTGAGCAGGGAGGGGTCTCCAGCGGGTCTCTGCTCCAGTCGCAGTTTAAGGCATTCGTGGATAACATTGAGAAGGACTCTGCAGAGCACGAGGAACGCAGGTCGGAAGGATGGGAGATCCATGTCCCGCAGGTCCTCCCAGGACACCTGGTCAGCTCCCAGCTCCGGATCAGTGGGATTGGTGCAGGATATGTGGCGAGACAGCTCCGGCAGGTAATCGCTGTACAGCATGGGGTCTGGGAGGTCTGCAAACTGTTAGTGGGAGCCATAAAGAGAACTTGTAAATCATATATTCCAACTCGACAACAGGTTGATAACATATATGAGGCCATTTGATAGATTTGTTCTTGCTGTTAAGCATTGCTTAAATGAAATAATTTGTAGGCTATGGAATTTAGCCACAATGCATACAGCTTTGCTTGCCTATGATACGTAGCGCTAAGATGGACTTTAATCTTGCTCACCAAGCTCAGACAGTGTTGTTTAAGCCACAATATCATACAGGTGTTTTCTAAGAAGGCCCTCTTAAAAACACACCTGTTTGCTGAGGCATTTTGTACATCCTGAGAGATTGACCTTACTTTTATTTTGTTTCCTTTTTGACCTTCTGCTTTAATAACTTTTACATATTCTACTATTTTAATTTGAACAACTTCAAAAGTTTTTTAAACTCTTAATCTCTATTTTAGCTTGTCTGTATTTTGCTAGCCCAGGGGTTAACGTTAAGGATTTACCTCATTTGCCCAAAAACAATTTGTACTTGTCCAGTATAATGTTTGATAAATATATTTCCTAATATTCATCTTTGTATATATAACAATGAAACATGTTTGTTTTTTAAATGTTTTTTTTTTGTAATTCAGTAAGTTTCCAGGTTCCTGGTGAGTATACAACCCCTGGCAAAAAGTATGGAATCACCAGTCTTGGATGAGCACTCATTCAGACATTTCATGCTGTAAAACAAACTCAGATCAAAAACATGAT